AATGTGATGGATTATACTTTTTCTACTTCAATCAATGTGCCTAATACGGTCCCTTAATCCATTACATTTAAGACATTCTACATCTCTACATTTAAATAACATACATAATATAAAACAATATACAGAAGAGTAAACAATAGAACTACTAGCAAAAAACATATCCAAAATTAAATCTGTTAAAATACTAACAATTTCTGTTGGACCTAATGGGCCTGATAGAGATATTCAGTGAATTACGTATACAGTTGTAAATATAATTTACTTCGTTCCGATTGCAGTTGCACGTTATTTTAAATGTGATGGATTATACTTTTTCTACTTCAATCAATGTGCCTAATAAACCCTAACATTACGAACAAATAATTATTTGAGGGTATTATGACGAAAACCTAATCTTTCCGTGACAATATTTTTTTTTCAAGTACCTACCCCTTTTTACTACGTCGCTCTCATTACTTTTTGAACGCCCCTCGTAATATTGCGACACGAGAATTTTATATACAAGAGTAGATGTGTGGTATTTATACATTGTCAACAAGCGATTACAAATTCTTTAACGTTACAGAGAAACGATTAAATAAATATGCGATACGTTGATCATGACGTCAGTCGACCAAATAACAGAGTGCTGTTGGCACCGGTACGATACTGGGAAGTGTTTGAACTATTTCACTTAACTTCTAGATAGCAGCAACCTACGTGTGTCAAATTATAAACAAACTAGCTACTCGCCCCGGCTTCGTACGGGTGTACATGTATTATATATATAAATGTTCCTCTTGAATCACTACATCTATAAAAAAAGCCGCATCAGAATCAGTTGCGTAGTTACTACAACTACGCAACGGATTCAGAAGCGGCATTTAAACATTTAAGCATACATAGGGACGGACAGACAGCGACAGCGACTTTGTTTTATACTATGTAATAATAATAATAATAATCTGAGGAAAATTTTAAGTTATATGTGTCAAATTATAAAAAAAATTCACACAGCGCCATCTAGACCCAAGTTAAGCTAGCTAAAGCTTGTGTTAGGCGTACTAGACAACTGTTTAAGTGTCAGGTTAAAAATAATAATAATAATAATCTCAGGACAATTCACACAGGGACATCTAGACCCAAGTTAAACTAGATAAAGCTGGTGTTGTACATGGATGGACATTTTTTCTTCTTAAATACATATATATATATTATGCATAAAAACTACCCAGATTGATACAAACAATCTCATGAATTGACACGAACATTTGTAATGTTTGTACCTTGCGAGGAATAGAACCCGCGACCGCGACCAACGGAAGTAAGACGGTGTGCTAAACTGCTAGACTAGATTAGATTTTTTCATCGTTGTCTGTTTTAGAGGAAAATATTCTGGTAGTTCTTTAACGAATATGCATAATTGTTTAATATATAAACATGTTAAGGTAAGCAGTTTATTTTTTTTAAATAACGGGCAACAAGATTATTATTATTATGTTTTTTTTTTCTCTTCTATTCTAGTGCCACCTCCCACCTTTTGTACCCTCTTAATTTTAATTACTCTATTAATGTAATTTTCCTGGTGCAATAAAGAGTATATAAATAAATAAAATATGATTCTAGTATTTCCGCACCAAAAACAGATCTTATACATTTTTTTTGTGACTTAAACACTTTATCAATCAAAGTATAGTTTCCCCATATAATTAAGCCGTACTGTATTACTGACGCCACATGTGCATGATAAGCCAATAGTGCACTCTCGGTAGGATATCTCACGGAGGCACCGAAGAGCGTAAACAAACCTGAGTTTATCGCAAACTGATTTCACTTGAGTTCTAACTACAGTCTTCGTCAATTATTATACCAAGAAATTTTGTCGATTCTACCGTCTCTATTTTTTGGTCGTTATAACTAATATTAAAATTTAATTTATTACAATGATAAGTACCGAATTGTATAATTTTAGTTTTGTCAACATTTATTTTTAAATTATTCATATTCATCCAGTCTATAATATTTTTTATCATCAAATTTATTTCATGTTGCATGTCAAGTATGTTATTATTAATTTTATGATTACCTTTTATTACTATTGTTGTGTCATCCGCAAATAGTATTGACTCGTGATTTGTCACAAAATGTAGGTCGTTTATATATAAGTTAAACAGTAATGGACCCAGTATATTACCTTGCGGAACACCACAGCTGTTTAATCTGTAGTTAGATTTATATACAGTTTTATTTGGTATTGTTTTTGAATTCTTTAAAGTTTTCGTTATTTCCACCCAGTTATATCTTTCTGATAAGTAATTACAACCAATCATTAGCAGTTCCTCTGAAACCATATTTATATAGGTTTTCAGCTAATGTTCTGTGATCTACATAATCGAAAGCTTTAGTCATATCAAAAAAAAAGCCCAACAACAGGAATACCCTTATCAATACTATCAATTACAAATCTAACCAATTTAAAAGTTGCTGTTGCTGTGCTTTTATTTTTTTTAAACCATATGTTCATTTCTTAAAATTTTATGTTTATTAATAAATGACTGTAAATCTAGAGTGAGCAGCTTTTTCGAATACTTTTGCTAAGATAGGTATTAAAGTTATAGGACGATAATTACATATTCCATTTTATTTTTATTCTTAGCATTTAACATTTTATCACAGTTGAGCTATGCTTAGTATTTTAGAATATGTCTTGTAATTTTGTTTATGTATAAGTTTACTATTTTTATTTGCCCGTTTGTAAGTAATAAACAGTTTCCTTTTATTAAGACAACATTTTTTATGTTTTAGTAATCCATTTACCTTTATTAAACTTTCTAATGAATTTTACTGTTATTTTAGTTTTAAAACAAAGTTTGAAAAAGGTTTTATGGAATTCAGAGAAAGCCCTATTTGTGTCAGTTTCATTTAGTACTTCTTTGTCACAAAATTTATCGAGGTTTTCATTACAAAAATCTCTCCTTTCTTCAAACCATTGGTCAGTAGTATTGTTAGTTTTTAAATTTATTTCTAAAGTTTGAGCTGTGATCAGATATCCATAAATCATGTACTGTACCTACTGCGGTGGATATATTGCTAATCATATGATCAATATATGAGGACAACCGAGTTGGTGTGGATCAATACGTATGACAAGTCATGTTGTAATTATTTAGAATATTAGTTAGCGTTAAAGTGTAATTATTCTTTTTATTTTTATTCTGTATATTTAGATCTACACAAAAAATAACGCGTTTCCTGATTGCATAACAAAACCTTGCTAGTAGTTTATCAAGAGTGGTAAAGAAAAATCTATATCAGAATTTGGTGTTCGATAGACGCAAATAATAGCCAGATTACGTAGAATAATTTCAATACCAGCGCATTCAAAGCTTTTATAGAACGCAAAATCATCCATATTAAGTTTTTTTTTTATTCTTACATTTATTTAGGGACTTTTATCATAATATGATAATGCCAGTCCCTAAGTTTTATACAAATAGAATAGAATAGAACATATAGAAATATTATCATACTAAAGCTATGGAAAATACATAAATTCAAAATATCTTTATTCATGTAGGTCTATTACAGACTCTTATGTTATGTCAAATCTACCGTCAGTTCGGAATGATTTCGAGATGAGAAGAACTGATAAGAAACTCAGCTCGTATTCTTATCAAATTAATATTATACTTGTTTACAATAATACAGATTAATAAATGAATACCTCTGTAATCTAGCGGTTTAGCAGACCGATTACTTCTGGTGGTCGCGGGTTCGATTCCTCGCACGGTCCAAAAATTTGTATTCATCAGTACGACTTTTTGTATCAGTCTGGATGTGTTCTATGTATATTATGTATGTATTTACAAAACAAAATATCTAAGTATTAATATCAGTTTTCTATTACCCATAACACAAGCTCAGCTTGCCGTGGGACTAGAACGCGCTGTGTTTATTATCTAGAGTTACTTATTATTGTTAAATTTGCATTATACAGAAAGGAGAGTGATTACTAATCAGTCTGCAGTTTCAAATTGCAACTTTGCTGTAATGTTCACATGTATATAACAGCCTTATCGCAAAATCGCGCAAATATTACACTACTTCCTCCCGCACGTTTGACAACCCTGCGTGAGGATGCAGGGTTGTCAAACGTACGGGTACGAAATTTAAGGTATACAGTACGAAGTACGACCTCGTACTGCGTACTGTAGATCATAAATTATTTATTGACATCAAAACTAAGCATTACTGCTTCCCAATATGATCACTTAGGGTAAATTACACAAAAATATGATATATTAATAATGACATTATATATTTATAACTCATTCGTTATTCTGATCTATAAGCTGTATTACAGTAAAGGTTCATCAAAATCTGTTTAGTAGTTTTAGCAGAGAGACAGAGTTACTTTCGCATTTATAATAATACAAATTAGTAAGAAATTAGTAGGGTAACTGGAATATGTTATTTTAAATAACTCAATAATAAATATTTTTTAATAAATAATGATTATAAAACTAGTTTTATAACCAACTCTAGAATTATTCAAAAGGATGTCAGAACTCTAAAAATAATTTCGATGTTTAAATATCGTGCGTCAAGTTCACAGGTGTTAACACAAGATCTGCTTTGTTTAAGACAAGATAGCGCGTAGATTTCCTAGGTTGTTATTTTTTGACATAAGCTTAAAAAAACAGACAAATTTGCAAGCTACAGCTATTAATCTATACATATAAATAAAATTTAAGTGTCTGTTTTTAATATTGAAATAACTGTTATTTACTACATGCATATGTATATAAATACGCAAAACATACACAAAAATAACATTTTTTACAATTTTTGTCTGTCTGTCTGTTTGTTCCGGCTAATCTCTGAAATGGCTGAACCGATTTTGACGGGACTTTTTTTACAGGTAGCTGGTGTAATAAGGAATAACTTAGGCTACTTTTATTTTAGAAAAAATCCTTTATTTCGGATAAATTAAGTTAAATTCCACGCAGACGAAGTCGCGAGTACAGCTAGTAAAAAATAACTTATAAGGTTGACAACCCTATCCCCGAGCTACTACAATGGACGGCTTGCTTCCAATAAGCATTTTAAATTCACCTCGGCTCGACGGTAGTCGTTCGCGTCTCGGGTGGATAACAATCGCGCATTTCGTTTATTCATAACTTAAGAGCCGTACTCTTTTCGGTTCAGCCCCTGCCATTTGCCACGATCTTCCATAAATCTCTTTTGTTACGACACGACGCCACTTCTTCCTCAATCTGCTTGATATAGCCGTGCCTTGTTCCCTTCCTCCCTACTCGTTCCTTCTACTTTTCCTTGGATAAGAATGGCGTTTTCTAGAAACTATTTTGTTGACAAGCGCAGTTATATTGTAATGGTGTTATTGCTTGCTTATCTTCTTCCAGGCGCCGGTAATGTAAACTTTGCTGATACACAGAAGCTGTTGACTGCGATAGGTGAGTTTTTTTTTATTTTTGCTGACTTGTTGGTCAATATTTTTAATTTGAATTTTAGAATAATGTAAGGATGACAATCCATGCCATCAATGCCATCTCTTTCTTATACACAAAGTATATATAATTATTTATTTAAACAAACTCGAATTTAAGCAGTTTTGAATAGCTATACATCTTTATAGGTAGTTTGTATTCACACGTATCGACTTAAAATATGAACTTACGACGATTATTTAAAAGAGCAACACATAAGTTTCTTGCTCGTTCTTCTTGTGATGTCTCATCACCTTTGCTTTCCTAATGAGTGGTAGATTAAAAAAAATGTGATGACTATTAAAAGTATTAATGTTATTTGAGTAAAAGATTTTCTATTCTATTCTTTTATCTACCTCTCATTCGAAGAGATGTCTCAACACAAGAAAAATGCCCAAGAACTTGCGTGTTGCTCTATTAAACAATTAGTTTAATTTCATAATTCATATTGTTTTATAAACACAAGAAAAATGCCCAAGAACTTGCGTGTTGCTCTATTAAAGAATTAGTTTAATTTCATAATTCATATTGTTTTATAAACACAAGAAAAATGCCCAAGAACTTGCGTGTTGCTCTATTAAACAATTAGTTTAATTTCATAATTCATATTGTTTTATAAACACAAGAAAAATGCCCAAGAACTTGCGTGTTGCTCTATTAAACAATTAGTTTAATTTCATAATTCATATTGTTTTATAAACACAAGAAAAATGCCCAAGAACTTGCGTGTTGCTCTATTAAAGAATTAGTTTAATTTCATAATTCATATTGTTTTATAAACACAAGAAAAATGCCCAAGAACTTGCGTGTTGCTCTATTAAAGAATTAGTTTAATTTCATAATTCATATTGTTTTATAAACACAAGAAAAATGCCCAAGAACTTGCGTGTTGCTCTATTAAACAATTAGTTTAATTTCATAATTCATATTGTTTTATAAACACAAGAAAAATGCCCAAGAACTTGCGTGTTGCTCTATTAAACAATTAGTTTAATTTCATAATTCATATTGTTTTATCAACACAAGAAAAATGCCAAGAACTTGCGTGTTGCTCTTTTAAACTAATTAATACTTAATAACATAATTCATATTGTTTTATTCACAAATGTAACAAATCTCGTTACACAATAGCACGTTAATAGTAATTAATTTTTTTTTTAAAGATAATTATGTCACAATTACAATTGTAAGTATTCAAAATAATAAATCAAATAATATATAACGTATATATATAACTAATTAAAAGTCACTGAATGGAAAATGTCATAATTTTCAAAAAGTCCCATTGTAAAAAGGATGTTGCTCGAAATATGATTTTATTTTGGTATTAAATTCTATTACATCAATAGAAATTAAGACCATAATAAACAATTCCATTGTTTTATTAGATAGTTTATCGTACATTTTTATTTTTAAGTTAATATTTGTTTTATTTTTGCAAGTCGTAATCTTGGTAATTGTAATAGCAATGGTAATTTTGCATTTTTAAGTTAAAAAAGTTAGTAATTAAGTAAATGCTTGAACAATAATAACAAACTGGTCTTACCTAAATGCCGTTTAATTAAATCTAGTATATTTTATGGTAACTGCGTATAGCTTTACAACAAACTATCAGAGTCTGTTCTAAATTGTTCCATCCGATTGAACCCCCATCCAATTCAAACGGGGATCGATATTACACCCCTAGACTAAAGTTGGTGCCCTCAGACTAAAGTCGTATCCGTCAGGCAGGAGTTGGCCTTCAGCCGCTCCATAAGTCCTTCCTTGGTTTGGAGTGCCATCTGCACTCGCCCCCTATCGTCCGGTGAAGCTGTAAAAGCCAGCTGCGGCCAACAGCATTAGAGTATCCCGAAAAAAAGTCAGTTCTAAATCTGAGAAAAGATTCAAACGTATAAAACATTTTATATGTAAAATAGCTTATTATAAAATTGAAGTGTTTGTAAATTATAATAAGATTTTTGTAGAAAAATCTTAAAATCCATAGCGCTGACAATATTATCTGATAGCACTAGAAATGAGTGCCTAACTGTTTCCATGATTATCGCATGCCTCCTACTTGTTACAGTGTATATATATTTATTTAAAATAACGTTTATTCAAAAGAGCAACAGGCAAGTTTCTTTGCTCCTTCTACTGTTTAGGAGTCTGCATATCTGTATTAAAAAAAATAAAGTGCTTGTAGTGAGTTCATTTGTTTAAAGATTATTTCTATTAAAATGTGTGAATACAAATACCAAATAGCACAAATTTATTAGAAGACTAGGTACCTACCCCGGCTTCGCACGAGTTTACATGTAATATACATATAATATACATGTAATATACATATCTAATATCTAATACATACCTTCCTCTTGAATCACTCTATGTATTAAAAAAACCGCTTCAAAATCCGTTGCGTAGTTTTAAAGATTTAAGCATACATAGGGATAGACAGCGACAGCGACGTTGTTTTATTGTTTAGATAAGGGTTAGATATTCAGAATATACTTTTACTTGCATTATTATACAGAAAAGCGAAAATTACACTGAACTATTTATCAATACAAAAGGTGGTAATAATTGTCTGAAAATTTTATTCTATGATAATTTAGTGGCAAGAGCTCTACCGATGAGAGTGTAGATCTTAAATTATGAAGAATGAATCGAACCTGAGACCATCGGAATATGAGGTAGTGTACAGAAAAGCGAAAATTACACTGAACTATTATATTTATCAATACATTTATATAAATACAAAAGGTGGTAATAATTGTCTAAAAATTGTATTCTATGATAATCTAGTGGACCGATGAGAGCGTAGATCTTAAATTATGAAGAATGAATCGAACCTATGACCATCGGCATACGAGACAGTGTGCTGAACCGTTAAACTATTGAGGTCGTCAAAATATCAAAGCAAGTTTAATGTAATGTTTGATATTTAAACAGTTAGTTATGCAAATAAGGAAAATAGTATACGAATTAAAAATAATCACGGAAAATTCCAAATTGGATCTAAACCATCGACGGTTCCGAACGAACGGAAATTGAAATAATTATAATAAAAGTTTACCTGGACAATTAACACAGCGCGATCTAGTCCTAAATTAAGCAGAGCTTGTGTCATGGGTATTAGACTTATATAAATACTTAGATTTTTTTGTAAATATATACATAACAATACAAAATACCCAGACCGATACAATCATACTATGTCTGCTTGTCAGCCGACCGTAATGATTGTCGTCGGTAATGAAAGAGAGGTTGTTTGATAATAAAATATAATTAGTCCAAATTCTATATTGGCGTCCGCTTCTATAGTCAAAGCCTTTGAAAACCGGCAGTTCCTTGAGCTGGGTGCCAGACGCGACGAGCTGGAAGCCCGACCACCTGCGGCTATCAGCTATAATTATGTGCACGGTCTGCTCTCATGCCCTCAATGTGCGAGGATTTTTATAAACAAAATTGGCTACATAAGTCACATGCGAGCACATCAACGGCAAAACCGGAGTTATAGACAGTCGCCGTGGAATAAATAGAATAGAATAGAATAGAAAATCATTTATTCAAATAAACTTAATTTAAGCACTTTTGAATAGTCATAACAATTTGTTTTTTATCTACCACTCGTTCGGAAAGCTGTCTCATCACAAGAAGAACGAGCAAGAAACTTGTGTGTTGCTCTTTTAAATAATCCTTGTAAGTTTACATTTACAAGTCGAAACGTGTGAATACAAACTACCAACAAGCACTAATTTTTTGGGTCAAATATAAATATGCTATAAGATTAAATCAGTCGTAGTGATAAGAGCAGACCAGTCCCTACAAGCAGCACTCGTTCACGAGTATGACGGATGAGCCAGCCATCACTGCGCTCGACCATATTTTAGGGAGCCCATTGACCCGGCCCACCACGCCGCCACATGTCTGGACATTTTAGTGAGCATGACTACTCATTCCACACGACCACGTCACAGCTACAAAAATTACTATATGGTAGTTACAGTATTCGCACTTTACATAAGGATGCATGCGGCAATCAATACAAAAGCCGCTACGCTATCATATATCAAGAAAGCAGTATGAAAATTAAAATTATAACGTTGTCCGCAAATAAACTTATTCTTGCTATATATTGCTATCATCTATAAATTCATCTATCTTATAATAGGCTTTTTTACATAACATTTGTTTAATATAAGATTTGAATTGCCTCTCTGTAAGATTTAGCGTAGACTCTGGCAGTTTATTATAGAATCTTACGCAATTACCATAAAATGAATTACTAACTTTGTGTAGGCGGCATTTAGGTAAAATTAGCTTATTTTTATTGCGTAAATTTCTACTTGTACAGTCTTTAAGTTTAATCTTTAAGTTTAAGTTTAATCGGCCGGAATTACATCATCATTATCATGTCATCTGTATTTGTCCCTCTCAATTGTTCTATCTGTCCTAGTTACGTCTTATAAGCGGCCAGCAAGTTCTCTCAAAGAGGCTGCAACAGCTATATTACTGTAAAGTTTCATAAAAATCCATCCAGTAGTTTTTGCGTGAAAGAGTAACAAACATTCATCCATACTCACGAACTTCGGGTTTATAATATTAATAAGACCTGCCCACAAACAGAGCATTGTGTTTGTGTTCAATTACAGTATACGACTTTTTGTTACTGTTTTTGTTCAAACTTTGCCATCTTAAGTCACGTACACTATATAGGGTGCTACCGAATGAACTGCATTTCCTTATACAGGGTTTTCTAGCGGTTTTGTCTGTCTTACTTCCGAGGAAGGCTTTAAGCTATATTACATCACGACCAATTGAAGCGAAGTATCAGTAAAAATGTTGCAAAAACGGGAAAAAAATTTTCAAGTGTTTTTGATAACCACGCGAACGAAGTCACGGGGTCAGCTAGTAATATATATACATTAAATTAAATTGGCAGCATGTACACAATCATTTTTATTCATGAGTATGATTGTTCGTCTTTGGAATGAACTATCTATTCGAAGAGCAACATCATTGTCGAGCTTCATGTTATACTCTATATCTATTATCTCTATTCAAAAGAGCAACACACAAGTTTCTTGCACATTCTTCTTGTGATAAATCTGCATTCCGAATGAGTGGTATAATCAATATATGACTATTAAAAAGTGCTTGTGAGTTTATTTGAATAACGATTATTTCTATTTCTATTTCTATTTCTATTTCTATTTCTATTTCTATTTCTATTTCTATTTCTATTTCTATTTCTATTTCTATTTCTATTTCTATTTCTATTTCTATTTCTATTTCTATTTCTATTTCTAACAAAATAAAATGGTCTTGTTTCAGTTCGGTATATCTTCTACCTGTTCTTCATACGAGGATCCCAAGCAGCAATTGTTTTAGCGTACAAGGTGTACTATTTGAATGCTCAGATAGATCTGCCGGCGATCCTACAAAAACATAAGACCTATTTATACATATTTGGGGCATCGGCCGCTGTAATAGTGTACAACAAGGAAAGTTTGTTCAAAGAAGACTTTCTCTTTCTGGCCACGGCGCAGTTCGTTGAGAAATATTTGAAAATGGTAAGTTTTAGAGACTAGCTGTACCCGAGACATCGTTCGCGTGGAATTTAACTTTTTTTTTATTATAATGGGTTTCCGCTTGGCCTTACCTCATCGGATGGGAAATGATGGTTAAATCTAGGATGTAGCGCGCTTACCCAGAAGATATCTATTTACCATAGACTTTATTTTTCTAAAATAAAAGTAACCTGATTTACTGCTTATTACATCAGCTACCTGCGAAACAAAGTCACGTCAAAATCGGTCCATCCAAATAAGTCCCGTCAATCTCGGTCCAGCCATTTCTGAGATTAGCCGGCACAAACAGACAGACAGACAGACAAGAATTATAAAAAATGTTATGCTAAATAACATTTTTTACCAATTCTTTTTATACGTATAGATATGTATAGGTTATGATGTTACTATGAAGATAACTTATCGAAATAGTCGTTCCTAATACGTGATTAGAAACTTGACAATGATGTCATTCTTCTAATAGATGTTAATAGTTCACTCAAAACTCCAAAGACGAACAATCATACTCATGAATACAAATGTTTAGCATACCACCTATTCGCAGGTTCGATTCCTCGCACGTTGTTTGAATAGGTCTGGGTGTTTTATATTTATATTATGTATGTTAAATACATAATAAAAAAAAGATGGTAGGTGCTCGTTAGTTAGTTACATTTTTTTAATAGATATATTTTGGTTAGTAAATATATTTTACATGATACCAATTCAATGTAATGTATATATATTACTAGCTGACCCTGGGACTTCGTCCTCGTGGAATTTAACTTTATTTAGCCTAAGTTACTCCTTATTACATCAGCTACCTGCCAAAAATGTCCCGTCAGAATCGGTCCAACCATTTCAGAGATTAGCCGCAACAAACAGACAGACAGACAAAGTTGTAAAAAATGATATTCTGCTGTATGTACCGTAATTATATTCATATGCAAGTAGTAAAAAACGATTATTTCAATATTACATACAGACACTCTAATTTTATTTATATGTATAGAGTACAGATTATTGTTATACCTCGACCAGACTCAAGTCTAATTGCCCCTATCCATCCAGATATGGTGAGGACTATGAATTGTCCTGATATGAACTGAAAATCAGCTCTGGAAACTATCTCCAGCATTATGCTGAGTTGTGGTCCACATTGACTCTATTTTTTTTATGTGTACTTCTTATGTTATTCAAATTCAAATTCAAAAATCATTTATTCATGTAGGACATTTTAGCCGCTTATGAACGTCAAGTTTTTACATTATAATTTTTTTCCCTACCGTCCAGTTCGGTATATAGATCCAATTGAGAAGAACTGGGAAGAAACTCAATTGAATTACTTTTTTTTTAATCCAGTTTATTTACAATGCATAGGTATTTATATAGGTGTCTATGTCTAACATTAAATGAAAATCCCGAACATGAAAACTATTGCCATGCACGCTCGTCATTCAAGTAATCGTTTAGTGAGTAATAGGCCTTGCTCAGTAAATATGATTTAACAGATGTTTTAGATTTATTTAAGGGTAATTCCAATATATCCTTTGGTATCTTATTGTAAAATTTTATACCTATTCCCATAAAAGACCTATTGACTTTTTCTAAACGATACTTGGGTACTGGACTGTATAAAACGAGTTAATAAATTCTATTCTATTCTATTCTATTCTATTCTATTCCATATAAAATAATATTTTAATTGTATTCCAGGAGCATGCACCAACTAGCATAAGATACGGCATCGGCATGGCGTGCAGCTTCTTCGAAGGCTACCTGACCCACGTGTTGCCCAGCGATGGGGCCCGGTTCGTGGGCTTCGCGGAGAACATCGCGAGATACGAGGCCAACCAGGGCGTGGTGTTCCCGGTGAAGAAGCTGTTCATCATCATCACCAAGTCGATGTACTGCCCGCCCGATCTCAAGGCTTTCAACAAGCCCAATAGGACGGATCTGGCGCGTATTGAAGCTTGTGAAGTAAGTTGTTTATATACATAGTTATATAATAAGTATATATCCGTCATACTCGTGAACGGGTGCTGCTTGTGGGGACTGGTCTGTTCAGGTTGCGAAAACTGAATAGATTTTTCGTTTTTTGCAATAACATATGCTGGTGGTCACTACTGGTCACTCTATTCTCCCAAATTTGAATTTTAATGACTGTGTATTATTGTGAACATGTACAATATTTATTTGAAAAGAATACGAGCTGAGTTTCTTGTTACTTCTTCTCATCTCGAAATCATTCCGAACTGACGGTAGATTTGACATATCATAAGAGTCTGTAATAGACCTACATGAATAAAGATATTTTGAATTTTGAATTTAATATAAATACTAACTGATCCCACATACGTTGTTTTGCCATATAATGATAAATTAATATCATTATTAAAAAATAGGGGTTGGTGGTAGAAGTGTCAAAATTTACGTTTATATGTATTTTTCAATGCTAAATCATAGTAAATTAATATATTATGTTGAAAAAATAAAACAATATATTTAGGAGTGCGTCACCCTTATATCTACAATACATAGATTGTTTTTTGTAAATCTATATATATATATAACTCAAAGGTGACTGACATAGTGATCTATCAACGCACAGCCCAAACCACTGGACGGATCGGGCTGAAATTTGGCATGCAGGTAGATGTTATGATGTAGGCATCCGCTAAGAAAGGATTTTGATAAATTCAATCCCTAAGGGGATAATAGAAGCCGCGGATAAAAGCTAGTACATACATATTATACACATGGACGTCCAAACCGATACAATTATACACATGAATACAAATATTTGTGCCGTGCGAGGAATCGAACCCGCGACCATCGGAAGTAAGGCGGTGTATTAAACCGCTAGAGGCCGTCAAATTTATAATATATTTCGTAAATTGGCCGAAATATAATGGTAAATATCAAGCAAGTGTTATGCAGACAAAGTTACGCTGGTCAGCTAGTAAAAAAATAAAATCCAAATATATATATAACTCAAAGGTGACTGACGTAGTGATCTGTCAACGCACAGACCAAACCACTGGACGGATCGGGCTGAAATTTGGCATGCAGGTAGATGTTATGACGTAGGCATCTGTTAAGAAAGGATTTTGATTAATTCTACCCCCAAAGGGATAAAATAGCGGATGAAAGTTTGTATGAAACTTTGTCAATTTTAAACCGACCGGGCTGAGACTTTGCATGCATAAAGCTACTATGACGTAGGCATCCCCTAAGAAAGGATTTTGATAAATTCCACCCCTATGGGGATACATTAACGCGAACAAAACCGCGGGCAAAAACTAGTATAATATAATTATGCAATAATAAAATAAATATAATATTATCCAGTCACTGATAGACATAGAGAGGGACGTAGCTGGTGTGAAGAACCGCATATACCGCAACTCGGCGTACAAGATACACCGTCCGGGAAAGGATCCCGTGTACCTGTCTGCGGAATGTGCCACACCACTGCACACACTCTACATGGTGCTGCAGAAACGGGCGCTGTACGAAGGTACGTGGAAATAGAAATAATCTTTATTCAAATAAACTCAGTACAAGCACTTTTGAATAGTCATATTTTGGTGCTACCACTCATTCGAAACGCAGACTCATAACAAGAAGAAAGAATAAGAAACTTGAGTGTTACTCTTTTGAATAAATGTTATTTTAAATAAATAAATAATCTGTAACCTTTAATATATATAGAAATAATCTTTATTCAAATAAACTCAATACAAGCACTTTTGAAAAGTCATATTTTTATTCTACCACTCATTCGGAATGCAGACTCATAACAAGAAGAACGAATAAGAAACTTGTGTGTTGCTCTTTTAAATAAATATTGATCTTGCTAGTTGATCTGCTTGTAGGGACTGGTCTGCTCTAATCACTACGACTGATTTACTCTTATTTTGTTACTCAACCAGTTGGTTGTATATTTCATATTTTCTCTATTTGAGTATTTAATTGAATTAGTGCTAATTGGTAGTTTGTATTCACACACTTTAACTTAAAAATGTAAAGAAACAACCAAATTATTTAAAAGAGCAACTCGCAAGTTGTTGTACATTCTTCTTGTGATGAGACAGCTTTTCGAACGAGCGATAGATTGAAAAATGTGATGACTATTCAAAAGTGCTTCATTGGTTCATGTTTAAATAAATGATTTTCTATTCTATTATAATATACAGTTTTAGTCAATATTTTATTAACACCTATGAGAATCTTTTATATTTTCGCTACAACCAGAACATTGGTCCTTCGAGCCGGATCTGGATCAGCGACCTATGGATTGGTCGATGCTAAGGTCCGACCGCTCAGAGTTTGCGTTTCTGACAGGTCGGGATAGACCAATCTGACGACTGTTTGTTTTTGTAGTGATGCGACCTAACCTTGAAACAGCGCAGTTTGATATGATTTGACTTTTAAAAACGATTGTTTTTATAGTTACTTTTAAACTTTCGTGTTTAATATTAATATTAACCGGGTCTTAACACGAAAACTAGCCGTGATCAGCCTGTGACCACAGGCCGCCAGTTTAGTGCAACCTAGTCGAAACGTCAAGAGATGTAAATACCTTTATTTGCCCTAAAATTATTTATGTTAAGACTCAGTTAATAATATAATTAATGTTGTTTTTATATTTGTGAAGTACTTAATAATTTTAGCCCAAAATAAAAAGTTTATCGTAAGTTGGCATAATTATTAAATTTTTAATGTTATCACTCGTTAAAAAGGCAAAAAGAAGATATTTAAAGTTTTGCCGTAAATTGTACGTCAGTTCAAAGTCACACGTCGCGCACTCGATCCCGACCTGTCCGAAACGTAAACTGTGAACGGCCGGACTGTAGCTCTATAAATAACGAACTATCGCTGCTTCTGTTGCAGAGCTGAAGAACATAGACGTGGAGGAGGTGGTGACCGACTTCTGCACGATGCTGCGCTCCATCATCAGCAAGAGTCCAGACTGCTATGACAAGTGCGAGCTGGTCTACTTTGACAGTCAGTTGATTTTTCTTGTTAATTCATTTAGTATCATAAAGAAGTTTATAATTAGAATACATAACTATGTTATGTTGACGACCTCGGTGGTCTAACGGTCTAGCACACCGCTTTACGTCCGATGGTAGCGGGTTCGATTCCTCGCACGGCACAAACATTTGTATTCAAGAGTATGATTGTTTGTATTGGTCTGGGTGTTTTCTATGTACATTATGTATGTATTTACGAGAAAAGAATCTATGTATTTGTATCAGTTATCTAGTTCCCATAACACAAATTTTAGCTACCTTAACTTGGGTCTCGATGGCGCTGTGTGGATTGTCCTGAGATTATTATTATTATATCAAATAACATGACATATAAATAAAAAAAAATAATAACTTTTTTTTTACTTAAAATTAAGAATAATAAAGGCTATTATTATTACACACAAAATGGACTTCCGCTAAATCTAAATATATATAACTCAAAGGTGACTGACATAGTGATCTATCAACGCATAGCCCAAACCACTTGACGGATCGGGCTGAAATTTGGCATGCAGGTAGATGTTATGACGTAGGCATCCGCTAAGAAAGGATTTTCATTAATTCTACCCCCAAAGGGATAAAATAGGGGATGAAAGTTTGTATGAAACTTTGTCAATTTTAAACCGATCGGGCTGAGACTTTGCATGCATAGAACTACTATGACGTAGGCATCCTCTAAGAAAGGATTTTGATAAATTCCACCCCTAAGGGGGTAAATTAACGTGAGCGAAGCCGTGGGCAAAAGCTAGTAACACATAAGACTATAAAACAAATGTTTCTTTACAGACACAAATACAGATAATAACTTGGCGGACGTTCTACTTGACAAGATACGCGAAATTGAACCGAACTTCGAGAATATTCGACGGGAGTAAACTTATACTGCGGCATGCGCTGTGATGTTAATATTACTGATTTTTTTTGTTTTAAAGTTATTTAACTTAACTTAAATATATTAAACTTCAGTAATATTTATACGTATTTTACTAATTATATGTATAATGTTCAAAATCTACCCTGTATCATCGTAAGCACAGATCATTATATTAGAGTCCGCTAGTTTGTGTTCCCGCGGTTTCTGTTCCCCTCCCTTACCCAGTACTGAACTGACCGTACAGCTGCCGTGACGCGCGCGCGCATTGTGTTGTGAATTAAAATAAATTAGAACTGTGTTAAACCTACTGTAAACTGGAAAGCTAGCGAGAGTATTTTCCCTAAAATATAAATATTACTGAAGTTTAATATATCTGGTGCTTGATACAATGGTATTTCACATCAATAGATAGTATAAAATAAAGTCGCTGTCGTTGTCTGTCCCTATTTATGCTTAAATCTTTAAAACTACACAACGGATTTTGAAACGGATTTTTTATAGATAGACTGATTCAAAATGATGGTTTATATATATAATTTACACCCGTGCAAAGCCGGGGCGACTAGCTAGTTATTAGTAATGGAAAGAAAGAGATAAGACTCCAATTACTAAATACTAGTGAAGTTGCTTCGCATGGGTGAAATTATTGTTCTTCTTAGTCGGTACACTCTTGTCAGAGTGGTCGTGGTCAACATTTTGAATCACGATGAATGTGGTTCTTGGTAATACGGCGCCATTCGTCGCGTATGTAGCGGAAATTATCTTATTTGTTCTTATATCGGTAAGTATAACCTGCTGATCAGGGGCGGATCGTGAATTTGTGGGGCCCTGGGCTAAATCTACTTAGGGACCTACCTAATTATATTACTCAACTAAAAAAATACACCGACCAAAAACAACCCAGCGACCAGAAATTCCCCGTTCCTTTCGATAGACGCGCACTTGTATGGGTTGATTGATCTCAGGGTTGCCAATCTTGTGATAGGTTTTTTGACATTCTAGATATTTGTTTTATATTCTATATATCGTTTCAGTGGGACTGGGGCCCTTTGTGTGCTCGGGGCCCTGGACTGCAGCCCATAAAGCCCTTAGTCAGGTCCGCCCCTGTTGCTGATGATCTTATTATACGACAAAGATTGATTTACAATTAGTTATCATTTCTTAAGTTTGTTATAGTACAAAGAAAAAGTTGTAATCTTTTCTCTCGTAAGTTTAGGTTCGTTTAAGGGATGTAATGTTATGAATTAGTGTATGTTATCTCTAAGCCTTGATTATTTCATTAAAATAAATATTTAGATATTACTAATTGACCTCACAAACGCTGTTTTGCCATATAAATGAAAATCGCTATTAAAAATAGGTGTTGTTGGTATAAGGGTGAAAAATTAGGGTTGTATTTTTAATGACACATTAAAAAAAATCTAAAAAATAAAAAAAATGTTAGGATTGGACAACCCTTATCACTTAGGGGTCATCATCATTGCCTTGCCTTCATCCCCAAAACCCTTATCACTTAGGGGTATGAAAAATAAATAGTAGCCGATTCTCAGAACTACTGAATATGCATATGTAATTTCAAAATCGGTCAAGCAATTTCGTAGGAGTATAGCATTGTGACACGAGAATCTACAATATATATCTATATATAAAACTGCATTTAGGGTGTCTTCATTACATAGTATTAAACAAAATCGCTGTCGCTGTCTGTCCGTCTCTATGTATGCTTAAATCTTTAAAACTGCACAACGGATTTTGAAGCGTTTTTTGATAGATTGATTCAAGAGGAAGGTTTAGATATATAATACATGTACAACCGTGCGAAGCCGGGGCGAGTAACTAGTATATATAAAACCGAAGTACCGAACAACCAGGCCTGTATAATATTTTATATACTCGTTACATTTTGCTTTTTCGTCTGAACTGCATTTTATTAAAAACTTTTTAAGATTTTTTTTATATCATAGGAAACAAACCAGATTTCCGCTAACTCTAAATTTCCACCCTGCTACCACCAACCCCTATTTTTTAATAGCGATATAGGTACTTAAATTTATAAATTTCAATCGCAAAACGACGTTTACGTGGACAGCCAGTTTCATATAGATTTCAGTCTTTTTAAGCTGAGAAACTATCGTAACACCTTAAACAACCAAGGCCTAAGTTTGCAGTAGGTTATGTTATATTTTTAAGTCGATGATTTACATTGGTGGCACTTTTAGGCTAGTCATTATGTTAAAATAGGTAGTTTATACGAATTTTATTATAATTACATCTTATGTAACTTAGTTGGTACTAGTGGATAAGCATTTATTATGTTATAAACATTCTAACTAGCTTACCAAAGCACTATTGCTGTTACTTATTTTCTCTCTTTCTTTCAAAGCAAAGTTATAGTGGTAAGTGGTAAAGGAAGGGTGGTAAAACACTACATTTGAAATAGGTTATGTGTAATTAATTTAAATTGTATGTGTTTTATGAATGAGAAGTTTTAATTTCTTATTTATGTGACGTAAAAAAAGTATATGTACATATACGCTTGAATTATTGTTAATGATTAATTTCCAAAGATTTTTAAACTCGGTTCAAATGTTTATAGGTTTTGTGAATAGGGCACCAAGCCTATGTTGGAATAGGGCACCAAGCCTATCTCCAGCACTGGAATGCAGTGGCCTAACGACGATGACGATGACAATGATAAATATAGTGATGGTGATGATCATAAGATGATGGTGATGATGATTAATTATTTTATATGCATATTCGTTCTTATTTTGTTACATCGTTTACTTTCTACTGTGGCACTTAGATTTAGTGTTCATTTAAAATTCCATCGCCGTCAAAAGTTCTATAATTGTTTACAAAGACTATTAAATAGTAGACAAGGTGTATAGCTGGTGGTATTCTCAGAAATGTCTAATAAATTATGTCACATTTTAATGACAAATATACTATAATAGTTTCCAGAGACTATTAAATAGTAGACAGGGTACATAGGTGCTAGTAGTCTCAGAAATGTCTAATAAATTATGTCAGATTTTAATGTCAAATATACTATAATAGTTTCCAGTGACTATTAAATAGTCGACAGGGTATATAGCTGGTGGTAGTCACAGAAATGCCTAATAAATTACGTCAGATTTTAATGTCAAGTATACTATAATTGTTTACAATACATATTAATGTAAAAATATAAAAATACTAAAATGTTACATCACATTTTGATGTCAAATACTCAATAATTTCTTCTAGAGACTATTAAATAGTCTATATAGCTGGTGGTAGTCTCAGAAATGTCCAATAACTTACTTTTTGGTACTGTGAACAAAAAATTGTTAATAATTTTGTATGTTGTTTGTAATAAAAATTAAAAAATTATAGTAAATGTCTTATTATTGTTCTTATATTGATTATATATTCCGCTCATACACTAGTCGTAATACAGTTTGTTTTATGTAACTTTAGTTCATTTTGTTGTAGACTTGCACAGTTAATTGTATAAGTTTGTTTTGTTTTTATTGAGTAGATATGTGTAGGTATCTGTATGTGTGTAAAAATACATTTAAATACGTCCGGACTCTAGTAATCGAATCTAAGAAATCTAATAATGACCTCAATTTATTCTAACAGGCAAATAGTATGTTATTTTGAATATAAATGTTTTTTCTCTAAATTAGTTTCTTATTTTTCCTTATCTTAGGTATTAAGAATGAAACTCGAAAATTCTAGTTGCACATGATTTTCATGTATGCACTTCTTAAGTATAGCTTTAGATATGGTCATTGAAATCTCTGGTTAGATTCTCAATCGACCCAATATAATACAAACGTTACGTGGTGTTCTGCTTTGTTTTAGTGTACATAGACACTGATTTCTTTTGAAGAAAGTTTTGTGAGAAACTCGATGTGTGTGGTCATACCAATAGAAATTTTTGGTAATCATAGCTTAGAAAATTTATATTCTGACCCGTAAGATTATATATAACATATGTATGTATGTAAAAGAGGGTAGGAGAAGACCAAGGCATAGCAAAATCAAACAAAGAGAAGATGGGAGTCGTCTCGTATCAAGAATTAAAGAGCATGATGGAAAATCACGGAAAGTGGGAAGAGCTCCACCGACAAGAGTGTAGCTCTTAAATGATGAATGAATGATATATGTATGTATGTATGTGAGTGTAAATCGAATCTTATCTCTTATTTGAAAATAACTAAGGTTGGATTTCACCAATCGTAGCATAAACACGTTTAAGGAAACGGAGTTCAGCGTGACCTCGAAAAAAAGAACGACGTTGATCTCGTTTTACTTTAAATAGAATTCACCAACATTATACAGATCGCGTTTACCAAAATGAAGTTTAGATTTTCATTCGTTCACATTGTTAGACGCTCATAAAATAATATTTGATGCAATGGGTACTTTAAACGAAATTATTCTAAGAAATATTTATAATTCAATCATGTGATAATTAGGATAAGTTTTTTAATTTTTAATTTAATAAGTACCGTCAACTACAAAGTATAAAACAACAACCTTTACCTTTACTACTTAACTAGTAAAAAAATATTTTTTTGAGATTTTTTTTTATATTACTGGCAATTTTCTTTTTATTCCCGATATTGTATTGTCAAAAATTTGATTGATGACTGTTTGACAACTGACAGCTGCTTTAAATACGTTTAAAGAGTTAACTGTAGGAAATCAGACGTTCAGAATTTATAAACGTGTTTAACGAAATTTGTAGTGGTGAAATGCAAAATGAAGCTTTGAACACGTTTAAACGTTTTAATGGCGTTCAGTATGAACTAAACGTGATCAGTTTCTTTGGTGAAATCCGACCTAAGAATATCAATGAAGACTAGAGGCCGTATATAAAAAATAATATTCTCCCTCTACGCTAAAATTATTCGAGTGATGATATAGATGTCAATGTCAGTTCATTTACAAATGTCAAAAATTTTGACATTCAGGTTGTCATAACAAATTCACGTGTGTCGCTTGAATTCTGTTTGTCTTTATAGTTTGTTCTTTTTATATGATTTAATGGGTAATTATATTATTAATTAAATAAAATAACAATGGGTAAACGAAAGTATAGCCCTGAAGAAGAGGGCGCGGTCAAGAAGGTTAGAACCACAGAACACAGTGAAGGAATCGTAAATGGTGTTATTGAAACGGACCAACCTAAAAATCAGCAACATGTTGAAGAGAAAAGGAAAAAATCCCAAAAAATAGGCGGTTTTGATATCAAACACTTTCGTAAAGAACTTGCTTCGAAAACTGGACAAACTATGGGTAAGTCTTGGTTCGATAACTAACATTAATTCTATCACCATTATGAAAAGTTTACTAAAATAAAAACTATTCATTAAAATGTTTAAATTATACAAATCTAGTACAATCAATAGTTATTGTAGAAAAATTTAAAATTCATAGCGCTGACAATATTATCTGATTGCACTAAGAATGAATGTGTAGCGGTTTCTATGTTGATTATTGCATGCTTCTTACTAGTTATTGTATAATTATTTATATATTATAATTATATAAAAAAAAACATCTATTCAGAAGAGAAACACACAAGTTACTTGCTCATTCTTCTTGTGATGAATCTGCATTCCGAATGAGTGGTGGAATCAAAATATGACTATTCAAAAGTGCTTGTATTGAGTTTATTTGAATAAAGATTATTTCTATTTCTATTACTACACATCTTTCCTAACGAATTATATAGAATATAGAATGAAATATACAATATTAAAATGCTTATAACATATCTTATACTAAATATGAAAGTCTGTTTCTTGTACCTTTTACAACAAAAGAGCTGAACATATTTCCATAAAATATGTCAAAAAGGTACCTAATTAATATTGATAAGAAATTGACTGTATTCATCTATGTAATACAATCTACAAGAATGAATACAGTCAATTTCTTAACTCTAACAAAATCATGAAGTACATGATTTTGTTGTCAAATTTTATGAAAATTCGTTCAGCAATTTTGTTTTCATTCTGATACATTAGGTGCTCTTATTCATTAGTAACTTACACAATTAAGTTTACAGAGTACTGCTGTAGTATTTTTTGAATTAGCGTGTGTGACCTTGTACATAAGCAGTCCTATGATAATGTAGGATAAAATGGAATCAGATTTCTTTTAAATGTTTTCTGTATATTGAATAACTAACATTGGACTATCTTAATAAATTTTATGTACATAATATCAGTATAAATAATAGAATAGTGTTATATGTAGATATATAAATATATTTATTATTGAACTAGAGACTGGAAACTAATGTAATCAAGAATGTTGCTCAGACATCTGTTAAAATCTTATCTTAATATATTATAAACAATGAAAGTTTGTGAATATGGATGTTTGTCACTCTTTCACACAAAAACTACTGAACAGATTGTGATGAACCTTTACAGTAATATAGCTTATGCATCAGAATAACACATAGGCTATATTTTATATTGTAATTTAATGCTCTGAAAATGCGGGCGCAGCTAGTGTTTAAAAAATTTTTATACTTACAATCTAAATACTTACTACCTTATATTACCATGAAATGTTCTTCCCAATCAGTCCAGCTTATTTTCCTGTAACAATAACACACAGATAAACCAATAATAGAGGAATATAATAAAATATTATAGCCAAGGCAGTTGCTGTAGTGTGAAGTAATTCTAAATTAAACAAGATTATATTTTTTTACTTTTCAGCATTGACACAGTTTTTACAAGTCTGTCTGAATCCTGACAATGAAATTGATTATCTATTGGAATATTTAAAATCTGGTGGCAATTCTCATGAAATTCTCCGTCATGTGAACCAGGAAAGTAAGAAAAACCTAGCCCTTGCAACGCCAGCATTCCATCTTTTCCACCTCATCATCCTCAAAGTCCAAGCATCATTACCGCATATGATTGCTATAACAGAAGAAGCAAGCAGATACTTCCTAAATAACTTTGTTTCAACATTGGAAATAATGATTAGTGAGAACTCTGGACCTCGACATAGGAAAATAGTTCTTAAGCTGTTGACATCAATGGTCACTTTAAATCCAGATCTGGGTATAGAAGTCCTGAGTCAAGCCCCATTGACACCTAAACACCTGCAATATATTACTGAAAAGCCAAATTATAAAGAGAAAGATAATGTGAGGACAGCTTTTGTACATTTTATGACGTCTTTTCTAGTTGATGGACACTTACCATTGATTAAAGCTCTGTTAGAAAAACAGGGCCTTCTAGCACTTGTCATACCAGGTCTTATCCATGATGATGGTGAAGCAGTGTTGATATTTTTAAACATCCTAAAAAATAATGTGATAGACAACAGTTTTTTATCTAAAAGTTTAAAACTAAAGACATTCAGTCATCAGGTATTACACAACCTTTTCAAAGTGTTCTCATGGAAAGGCCCTCAAGAAATAAGTCATGAAGTACGAAATGAACTGCGGTCAGAAATTGTGGTCCTCTTGTCAGATATGTTATTGACTTTATTTACATCTCATAAACTTGGTCTATATTTCATTGATAATTCTTTGGGAACTGCTGATGTTAACAAGAATCAGAATTTGTATAAAGCAATACTTACATTAAAAAGACCTTGGGAGAATGATAAAGAATGTGAAACTATTCTACATATAGTTTACAAATGTCCTGATTTACACAGAGCTGTAATTAACATTGTGGAACAAAGTTTTGAGCCACAACATTCACCTATTTGGCTAAGAGCCATTGAGTTTGTAATAAAATTGTTAGATAAATTAAAACCTGAACATGTGGTCACAAAAATGATAAATTTGTCTGCCTCCCAAGTATCAAACTTTGTTCGGTTCGTAACATTACCTGTGCCTTTGTTGAGGTCTGTCCAAGCAAATCTTGGTAAAGAATTGACAATATCTTTGTATTGTATAAAACTTCTAGTGAAAATGCTACAAACATTGAATAGGTACTTACAAATTTTGGGAATGGCAGATTCACAAACAGTGATGGATTTAAGAAATAAATTGGATTATTTCTTCCCAAAACACTTGCCACCACCCGCTACAATAGTTGTTTTAATTAATAATGTCATAAATGATACAGAAACTGAAGAGGCGCCAAAGGATTACAGACTTCCAAAACTGGATAAAACTGAATCATTGATATATCTTTTAGACTTACTGTTACTGTATAATGAAATTAAGCCTGCCTTCTTTGAAACATTGGAAGACAGTATTGATATGAAACAAATTTTAGATTTTTCTATGAGTCTGGACTATGGAAACACACCACTTTTGAAATTTAAAATTGTTTCCTTATGGTTAATTATGGACAATTCTGCTGTGTCAATAAAAAATCCAATGTTTAAAGAATTGTTTCTTATCATGTTAGAAGTTTATACAAGTGATAATGATACTTGGATTGAAGCAAAGCACACTCTGTGTAATTATTTTAAAAATACATCAATTTTTGAAGGTGATGAAGATGAAATACATTTAATACTATATTCATTGCGTAATTGTCAAATTAATCCAATTTCATTAATAAGTGATATAGTGGAATATGTATTAACCAATCTTAATGAATTGACTGCTTATGTCAGAAACCAAGTAGTTAACTTTGAAATTTTAGATGAAGGGAGTGAATTATCGTTAGGTAAATTATTCAATGATCTTATGGAAGATAAAAATACAGAAGATAGTGTCTTTTTGGAAAATAAAACTCCAACTCCATTTATTGTAGGATGTGTGCAATATATACAAACAAATAAAGGAGCAAAGAAAAATTTGAAACATTTTCTTTCTTTATATGTGGCTAATTTATTTCATTGCAATTATTCTCCTGAGCTAACTGAAGTGTTACTTGGGGACTCTAAATTAGATGCTAGGAGTTATATTACGAACTGGGTGTCTCAGTCTGTGCCCATACCCAATACAATTGTTGAATCCGGTAATACATTGAATAAATTATCTAAATCTATATTGGATATTGAAAACATTGCATTAACTGAAATATTCACGTTTCTTGAACAAACTAGTTCAGATGAAAATGCTATTATTATTGATAATGTTTGTTATGCAGATAATACAGCTAAAAATGTAGATAATTCTGAAATCTTAATATGGGCAAAATATCTAATATTTTGTGTTGTAAGATTATCAAACATGGGTCAACTACAAGAGAATCAACAGAAAAAAATAACACAGTACTTTCAAATTCTGATTGATGTTGCCAAGAAACGGCATATGATTGATGTTTGTCAAAATATTATCTTATCATTATTTAATAATCCATATGTTCTAAAAATTTATAAACCTTTGGATCTGAAGAATAATATTTCTGACTTATTGGCAACGCATTTCCTTATTCAGGTATTAAAGCAGAATACTGATATTGTGAATAATTTAGAAAAGAGACACAAAATATTAAAGTCCTACCAGCAGAAGAATTGTAATGAGCTTGTTAAAGCATTTGTTAAAATTAACAAAAGAAAAAACGTGAACAGTGAACATACCTTAAGGGTACTGGAAATAGTCGGAATGTCTTATGAAAATGATATTCTGATATTCAGTAAAATTTTTAACACTGATATTACTAATTGTGTAAAAGACGATAAAGAACCAAGCTTTGTGATAGAAATATTACAAGCTCTAATTGATAAATATACACAATCCATTACTTTGGAACTTCAAGAGCATATTTTACGGAAATGTATTAAATTATATACTGAATTATTAATAAACAAAGATATGGTTATAAATCTTACAAACCTAGAAAGTTCAATAATATGTTATTTGGAGAACAAGCCTTATGAGGCTACACATTTACCGGAAGATATATTTAAGAAATTTTTTCAGGCAAGCACTATTAGAAAGACCACGTCACACCTTGCTGCTTTGTTGCTTCAACACAATCCAAAATTTTGCAATAGTTTTAAAGAATATGTTTCGAAACCAGAAATATTAAGTCAAAGAGAATTAGCACTGCCCTTAGGTAATGCTGTTTTAAATCACAAACAATTCTTAATTGATAATAAAGATTTCCTAACGACAGTTTTCAATGAGTATAAATCTAATATAAATAAGTTTTTAGAAAAACCTCACAAAGCTGGTCAAATTTACATCAACTGTTCACAGTTTATAACAAAATTAGTAATGGAATGTATGGATGTTCAAGATTGCATAAAAATATTTGGCAAAAGTCATAAGTTTGAAGCTGTCGAATTGAGTCATATAAATTTATTTCAAACTGTATTTTTCAAAATATGTTTGAATGAAGAAGGACGCAAGAAAGATTACTTTATTAACTATCTTTTATCAATGTTACATATAGTAATAGTAGCTTTAAAAGAAGACAAGGAAAGCATTATTTTAACAAATATTGTATCTAATGTCTATAATATTATTCAGTTGTGTAAATCTATAACAGTATTTGATTTGGAGCAGAAGGCCGGGTACCAGAAAATTATCGAAAGTTCAATTTGGCAAAACTTTTGTAAAGGTGTTTTGAAAGATTCTCTAAAAATTAAAACTATAGATCAGGAAAGCACTGGTGGACCTCAGCTTCTGTTTTTGTTGAGTACACTAGTGAAACTGTTGTATCCTGAAGATCATCAGGATATTGCATTACTGTTTGATATGGTTACATCACACTCAGAGTTTTTAAATGTGATGCTAAGCCATCACAGTTCTGAGATAAAGTCAAGATTAGTTGACTTCTTATACACGCTGATAAAGACAAACAAAAGTGTGATGAAAACTTCTCAAATACCTGTATATTTAAGCGCATATCATGCCACAAGAAGTCCCTGCGATAGAGTTATACTAGCGATATTACATTTTTATGAAGCTAACGGTCAGCCTATTAATGAATATAAACCTTATGTATTTGGTGATTCAGCAGCAAATTACTATGCCGTCCGTAAAAACAGATCGTCTACATTGTGGGGACATCCTACACCTAACAGAGTGTTAAATTTATTTGATAAAGAAGTAATAGAGTTGACAGTAAAAAAGTTTCCAATTACACAAAAATTAGAATATGAATACAGCCTACCAGTAAATATTAACTCAAATTATGAAAGTTTGATTGATGTATCTCTGAAAACTGCTTTGTTAGAAATGAGCAATAATGGAATATTCAAGGCTAAAACAGTTAAAGACAATGAAGGAGCTGTTAATGCTTTAATTCTAAAAGGTTTATACGACAAGATGATTGTTGGGACTAAGGATGATGTAACATCCGTATCTCATATAGATAGTGATGAGAGCATATACGATCCAGTTTTCCTGTTTCCACTCCTTAGCCATCTCCTCGCTCCAGGGTCTGTAGCATCGTGCTTCAAGATATTGCGAACTGGTCTCCTGTCCTTACCAGTAATGGCTTTGAGTTCACATTGTCCGTTAATGCGTGCAGCAGCGTATCATGTACTCTACAGGTTTTGCATGTTACTGGAAACAGAAACGTAAGTATATGTTTCTAAGCATCAATTTTAATTTGAAACAGTAAAGTCATTATAACTGAATAAGTCAATTACTATTGTTTAAAATTTTGCATGCGAAATCAATGGCGCAATCGTGGACTACTTTGTTAATACTGACATCCTTTTAATATTTTTACTGTATTTAAAGCAATTAATTTAATTTGATTTCTGTAATTAGTTGAACAGTGTCTCTTTATAAGATATACCTAGATCCATATCCATCCTGCAATATATTGATGTCAATTTAAAAAGAAATCTCAACTAAACACATTTTGTTTATTTTTTCAGGCGGCACAAAAACGATAAATTATTTCTCACTGATTTCATCAATACACTTCGCCACAGTTTGTCTACAGCTATAAATAATGTAAATAACAAAGATGATATTATTCAAGATTCAAAAAATCCAAGATTACCAGCAGTCGATGCTCTTTATTTGGCAAAAGCTCTTATGGTGTCTACTGCGCCATTCGACCCAATGTACAAACCCGTCAATAACTTTTTCATAGCAAAACAGCTCATTGATTTGACAATAGTACCAGACTTCTTAAATCTTTTCCATGACAGCGACGTCGAATCGGCAGAAAGAAGAATTTGGATTCTAGAAGTCATCAGAGACGGTATAAAAACAATGACAGATGTAAATGTAGTGTTCAAAACCATGTGTTTAAAGATGATTATGGACTTTTATTCCTCTGTGCTGTGCGATAGGAAGACGCGGGAGAGAATTTTGGGCGTGTTGAGTTCTTTAGCGGCCATACCGAGGGCTATGGAGATAATGATATCCGGATATGGCTTCATGTCGTGGTTGCATTTTGCTGTAAATAATATAGGTAAAGAAGATAGAAATGTATTAAAAGGTCTAATAATTATTATTAAAAATATTCTAGAAAGTATCGCATTAAATGGATATTACAAAACTCTTAACACTTCTAAAAATGGAAAGATTTTTATAGATTTAAAAATAAATAAAGAATTAGAGCATGATATAACGACTAATTTGTATACGTTATTGCAATATACGAACTGTTTGGAACTGGATGATGTCGTGTCATATATAGATGTATACTCGATGCTGTCTAAAAGGAGTATAAAGATGTTGACACAGAAGCAAATGTTGGTGTTAGTGAACAAGAGCACAATGTCACTAAGGGACAGTGAAAGTGTTAAGTTGTTAACAAAAGCGTTAATTCTAAAAGATGCTAGTGTCTTGCGCAGTAAGAACATTGTAAATATTGATGTAACTGTTAAAGATTGTTTAATTAGAAAACTTACAAGTGTTGTACGTAACTATGTTAGTTGAAAGTCATGTTGGAGCGTGTTCATTTCTATGAATGTTCTAATATTTAGTGATGACATATTTTTACATATAATAAATTGTTTAAATATTACTGTTGACTTTAATTTAAAACTAGTAATTATGAATAATATTGTTAAATATCCCACTTTGAATACTGTCTCTTTATTATAGCTGTTTGGGTTTGTTCCGTTGCTTTTAAAAAGGTGAAATAACTTTGGCGCCAAAATGTGAAAAACATAATATTATAGAGATCAGAAGGGAACTGTAGAGAAAATATATATATATATTGTCATATTTATTACATAAATACGTTATAACAGTTTTCAAAGTGATGTAATGTACAAATATATTTAAGGCTACAAATTAAAGATATATATTTAGTGATTACAGATTTGATTGATTTTAATTGTTAGTATAGAAGATTTCCCTATTAAACAAATATTGTTTTTATTTTTCATCCAATATTTACTTTTTACATTGTAGCTAAAATGTAAATTTAGATACCAGTTCCCTACTCTTTGCAATTTACAATTGACCGAAAATATAACAAAATTACTGGGTTTATTTTAAGCACGTAATTTTATACTAGTACTATCTAATCTTTTATTAATTTAGGTACACAAATCCGTAATCTTTCTCAGAAATAATTCTGTCGATGGATAAAAACTGTTATATTAAAGGTTTTTGATTTTCTGGTTTGTCTTTTATGTTTATGTGTTGGATAATATATTAATAAAATAATAAATTATAAAATCATATATTTTCTTATGTCATTAAATTTTAACTTCTTTTTTTTTTTTATTTATTTGTGGCCAGCAATAATTATCATAGTCCACAACATACTCGCCGCCTTTGCAACTGTTCGTAATATCAAATGCATTTTTATATTTCTTTTGCATCAAAAACCATTTATCATCATACTTCTCAATTGATATAATATCCTCTTCATATTCGCTTTCGTCTCTGTCTACCAAATCTATCCATATATCTAATACTTTATTGTTAATTACAAGTCATTCACTAAGAAGTTTCTATATACAACAAAAACTACACGAAAATCCAATCAGCAGTTTTTAAGATTAGAAATAAAATTTCTAAAATAAAAGTAACTTAATCTATCTTAATACATCCTAATCGGTCTAGCCGTTTCAGAGATTAGCAGGAATGAATGGACAGACAAATACTTTAATTAAAACTTTTTGGTACTTTCAAATGCATGTAGTGACAAGCTGTTAATTTAAAATATTAACTTCAATTATATTTATTTGGAAATATAATATACCTACTGACAGGGGCGGATCTACCTAAGTGCTTTTTGGGCTACAGCCCAAGGCCCCGAGAATACAAAGGGCCCCCGGCCCTACTGAAACAATATTTAGACTATAAAAAAATATCTAGAATGTTAAAAAACCTATCATAGGGTTGGCAACCCTGAGATCAATCAACCCATGCAATGGACGTCTATCGAAAGAAACGGGGAATTTCTGGTCACTTGTTTATGGTCGGTGTACTTTTTTAGTTGAGTAATATAATTAGATAGGCACCTAAGTAGATTTAGCTCAGGGCCTCAGAAATTCACGATCCGCCTCTGACTACTACCACTTGTTTTCTTAAAGGGTGTAAACAGAAAGGGATTATTAAATACTAGCTGTTCCCGCGACTTCGCGTAAAATGACGATACTTACATATAACCTTTCATCCCCTTTCAACCCCTTTCAACCCCTTACAACCCTTTGTCAAAGTCTAGACTTTCTTTGTACCAAATTACTTTTAAATCGGTTCAGTAGTTTCGGCGTGAAAGCGAGACAGACAGACAGACAGTTACTTTCGCATATATAATATTAGTAAGGATATACAGACGTTGAAACAAGCAATTCATGGTACGCCAGCATTTGGCGGGAAATAATCGAATTCAATCTTACAGTGAGGCGAGCCCATCACCATCTTGCTGTTTTGATTTGTTATAGATGTTACTATCTTATGAATATTATAAATGCGAAAGTTTGTGAGTATGGATGGATGTTATTCTTTCACGCAAAAGCTACTGAACGGATTTTGATGAAACTACAGTAATATAGCTTATACATCAGAATAACATATAGGCTATAAATGTCATGTGGGTGAAACCTAGTTAATAATATATGGCATTTGTTTTTGTAAAGGTCGAAATCGAATCGAACACTTTATCTTTTAGTTCGTTTAATAAACCATTACCTATACCACTACGTTTTCAACAATTAGTGTATATATACATAGGTTAAATGATCTCATACAATCCTAAAGATGCCATTTTATAGTTATTTGGTTCGTGTAATCTTCAAGTAAACCGGCCACGTGTCCTGTTTGTGATTTAATTGCGTTTTGATAGCGCGAACGCTTGGTTAATTTGCATTGTTTTTTTTATTTTTTATGTGATAATGAAATGGTGCACCCGCCTGCGCTAGCGGTTTACGCTGGCGGGGCACCAGTGGAGGGTGATAATATGAGCATGAGGTCAGGTCAGTTAGCACAGCGTGACAAATTCACATGTAATTTATCACGATGGTTTCCAGGGGGAACCGCGTGGAGGTCAACCTGACATAGTACATTGATAGCAATGGGGTCAAGAGTCCACATTACTAACAATCCCCTTCCCCCCAATTTGCATTGGTTATTTACTACGTAGAAAGGGATGAAGATATAAATACAACAACTTGCATATATTAACCTCTTATAAAGGTATATACACAGTGGATTGGTCATTAATTATATTATATATATATGAATATATGAAAATGCTGGAATAATTTACCACCCCGCTTCAAAATACTATTCTGTCAGTTTCGTCTTTTAAACAAAGTACAAAAATTTTAAACGTGGCAGATAAATACAGTAGTTTTATATACATATATATTGATTAAATAAATAAATATATTCAAGCTATACTATATTACACAAGTCTTTCTATCAACACTTTTTTATCCTTATATATTTTTCTTCTATTCACACTTATAATTCATCCATTTAACTGATTCTTCATTTTAGATATTTGAATTCATTACAAATGCTATTTCTTTTTTTCAAGTGGCTCCACTGAAAATCAGCGCTGTAGTGACACGCTGCGGCACCAGCTGAGTGGAAATTATTAGTATTTAAGTTTTCTTTTTTCTCTGTACGCTTTTTTATGCTGAATAAATGATTATTATTATTATATAGACTAGCTGTTATTTTGTCATATAAATTGAAATTCCTATTAAAAAATAGGGGATGGTGATAGATGGGTGAAAATTTAGGGTTATATGTATTTTTAATGCCGCATTATAAACAATTGTCAAAAAAAAATAAAAATAAATGTTAGGGGTGGACAACCCTTATCACTTAGGGGTATGAAAAATTGATAGTAACAGATTCTCAGATCCACTGAATGTGCATATGAAATTTCATAAAAACCTATCAAGCTGATTCGGTCGGAGGAGTATGGTAACTAAAGTTGTGACACGAGAATTTTATATTTATAATAAGATTATGTTTTTTTCTTTACTAAAAATCTACTATTTCTTTAGATAATTATGTATGTAGAAATAAAGTAATAATTTCTTGACTGTTATCCTATTTGTCAATTGTTAATTGTTGACAATGAGGTGACCACATCTCTGGATATATTCACTCACAACTCTTGATATACTCACATTATACTGGCTATGTTACCCCCGTCCCTGACCACCCGCAACACCAGGGGAATTGCAAGTGCGTTACCGGCCTTTTAAAAAAGAATAAGCTCTTTTCTTGAAGGTTTCAATATCGTATCGGTTCGGAAATACCATTGCTGGAAGTGATTCCACAATGTGGTTGTGCGTGGCAAAAAGTTTCTAGAAAACCGCACTGTGGAGGACCGCCATTCATCCAGATGATCAGGATAGTATTTCAGTTTCTGGCGGGTGGTACGGTGGTGAAACTCAGCAGCTGGTATTAATCCGAACAATTCCTCAGAACACTCACCACACTCACTTTTCTACCGCATATATCACATATGCGATAGAAAATGCTCAGAGATGCAATATCGATTGTATATTATTACCTTCAATAGCAGTCTGTTGCCTGTTGAATATAAAAGTTAAGTTTATTTCCATATGTACTTACTATAATCAAAGCGGCATAACCGTATAATTGCCTAGAATCTCTATAATCTATGGGAAGGTATTTTCTGTTACATTTTCTGCGAGAGATAACTAGAGATATCTCGGTGAGTGTGATTATGTGATTTAATCAATCGGTAACTCGTTTTATCGGATCAATTCCACGCGTACTTGCTTTAGTGTCAGATCTTTATGTGTCGTAAATTAACGGTTTTTTAGCAATGCACAGGCCTGTTTTTTTTGGCTAGTACCTAAGTTAAAATCTTAAATCATTGCATCAAATAGGCACTTGTATATATGATCGTGAACTCTCAGATTATTGTACAATACTGTAGAAAACAAATCAAATCATTTATTCAAGTAGGACATTTTAGCCGCTTATGAACGTCAAATATTTTGTAATAACATTATTTCTCTACCGTTCGTTTCAGTTCAGAAGAACTGGCAAGAAACCCAACTGAATATCTTTTTTTAATAGTAATAGCTAATAACAATGTCCCTGAACAGTTCACACAACGCCATCTAGTCCTAAGGTAATAAAAACTGTGTTATGAGTACTATACAACTGATATAAATATTTAAATACATTTTTTTTATAAATACATACATAATATACATAGGAAACACGCAGACTAATTCATCATTCATCTAATGTACCTACATATAAATTTTAGCATGTAAGATCTAGTGGGGGGACCTGGTGACCCGTGATACAGGTTCTTCGGATACCTAGTACAGGCACCAGTTCTCCACAAATCTGTATTTTTGCATAGAATTTTACATGCCTCAAAGGCTCTGCAGCACTCTATAATATGTATGATTTTGTGGAGAAAAATAAATAAATATATTATTATTATTATTATTAGACTAATACAAACAATGTTATTCATGAATACAAATGTTTGTACCTACTGTGCGAAGAATCGAACCCGCGACCATCGGAAATAAGGCGGTGTGCTAAACTTATTCTTGATTT